GCATAGATTGCAACAATGAATAACTGGTATTTTTACATTTCTTGCTTCTGTTATAACTAATTTCACACACTTCTCTGCTCAATTTTCAAAATTTGCTTCGGACCTCCACTTTTCACTCAATTGGTGATATGCACTCTCTTACATTAAAGGGAGCTTAGGTTCTTGAAATGAAAGAAGGAATCAAAAACTTTTCCCACGTATATCTTCTATTAAACCAACTGTATACACGTCAAAATTTTCAAAATAATCTGTTCCATTGATCATATGAGAAATACAAGTACTGATCAAAAGCTACTGAGGAAAAGGCTAATGGACTGCAGGTAAACAGATCAAGTACCCAATATTAAATAAGTTTTAAATGAAACAAGCTCAGTTTTACCTCATCGAGTATCATGTAGTCCCATGTAGCATCATCTTCACTTTCGTCATCATTTAAATAATTACTCCCCCGTAAGGACTTAGAATTGTTGCGGACAATATCATAAGTTGTGAGAAGAACTCCTTTGTCCTAGAAGGAGGCATGAAGTTGACAGAAACAAAGAACTCAGAAACGTCAAAAATACCACCATTCTCCATCAATCAACTAAAAGTCCACCGGTGAACAAAATTTAAATCAGTATTATTTTCCTTAAATTAAGGCAGCCACCCCTACCATGAAATTCTTTTCCTTCCAATTATTAAGCTCAGTTTTGAGTTACACACAAAAACAAAACATATTTCTTATCCTCTGAGTGTTGAGCCCGAAGAATTTAATTTTAAGAAATTTCCAGTTTAATTTAAAAACAAGAAAGAACCAGAACCTGAAGTATGTACTGAAGTTCATATTCTCTAAGTTTTGTAGAAGTTCCAAAATATCTACGCGAAAGGACAAATAGTTGTTATTAGCGCATAAAAGTTTCAACATTGCATGTTATAGATAAACCACAGATGAATGAAATCAGGCAGCCTCACTCTCTTGTCTTCTCGGATAGACCCACTACTGACAATTCTTTGATCCAATGGGGCAATAATGTTTTGGGAGCTACAACCAATGCCCGTCTTATTAAACGAGAATGAAACAGTCCAGCTAGAAAGCCACAGATCTGAAAGAACTATCCAGTATTAGCAATCATATACCAGCTATTGCAAAATACAATTTCTCAAGGTTCTGTTACTCATTTCCTTACCTGCATTGTTTTCCCCAGACCCATATCATCCCCCAAGATTCCCCCTTTTCCCAGACTATGCAAAGACCAGAGCCACGTCAACCCCTCCCGCTGATGTGGATACAACATTTTCGCAATTTTAGCAGGCAACTTAAAGGTTGACCTGGGTCCAGTCAAAGTTATTGAACCATCATTCTCTGGCACAAAATTATCCATCACTTGAACCGAATCGTCTGAATCATACTCAATACAGTCGCCATCATCATTCTTATTACCCTCAGCCAAGCTCTCCTGCTGCGGAGAAAACGAAGACCCTGCACTCCCATACTCTAAACCCTCATCATCGTAACTTTCTTTACCTGCAACCAAACCCTCAACACGCTTCGGCCTCGGCTTCCTCTCAACCGATAGCAACTCAAACTTGGCGTTCAGTTCAGTCAAAATATCCCTGATTTCATTCTTGCCCCCACTCTCCTCAATCTGGACGACGTTTTTGGGCACCGGAATCGGTGAATCAAGGTCGATCAGTTCATCAAACTTGGACTCATCAACCGCCACGCTTTTTCCAGCGTCTTCATGCATAATCTTACATAGGCGCCGCCGCCCCTTTACTTTCATCTTCGTCGTCCTTTCTTCCTCTGAAAATAAATATAACAACAACAGCAACAACATTTTAACAACAGTGCTGATTGCAGGTTAAAAGTGAGGCAGAGAAGACAACACTTACTAGGGGCAAAATCAACCACGTCGGGAGGAGCTTCTTCTTCAAAAAATGTCGGTTCGTATTTCTCATCCGTGTTTTGCCCTAACAACCAAAACAATCGAGTATTTAGATTTCCACGACGGCACTGATTGAAAATTAATGTGAGCCAGATAAGATAACACTTACTAGTGGAAGAAATAACCACGTCGGACGAACCTTCTTCTTGTTCTTCTTCTTGAAAGATGATTGGCTCGTGTTTCTTGTCCGAGTCTTGCCCTAATAATACGAATATTAATCGAGTGTGGCAGATTATAAGGACGGTGGTGATTGCAGATTGAAGTGAAGCAGAAAATATAACACTTACCAGTAGTAGAAATATCGTAAGACGGAGCTACAACTTCTTCTGCTTCATGTACCTTGATCGGTTCGTGTTTCTCTTCCGAGGCTAACCATAACAGTAATAAGAAGGTGAGAACAAGCGTGAGAAGTAAACAGCGAGAGTGGATGGTAGAATGAAAAAGTACCGATTGGAGAATCGAAGTCGGTGATTGCAGAGAATTGAGGAATGTTTTGGTGTTCCTGTTTTCGCGCGGAGGATTCGATCGATTCTTCATCTGCGAAAAAAAAGAGGTAGGTTGATGAGAAAGAAATTGAAATAGAAAAAAGAAAGAAGAAAAGAGAAAAAAGTGAAACGTTACCGAAAGGTTTAGAAGAGGGTTTGGGGGGAGCGGAATGCTCTTGGAGGAAGCGATAGTGACTATCATTGAGACTGACTGGTTTCTTGGAGCTCTTGTTGTTCGCCATTGTTGTTGTGTCTTCTCTTCTCCCGCTTCGTTTAGAATTTTTGAATTTGAACAAGGTTAGGGAAAGAACATGCTCTTGCTTTACCTCTGCTTGCACTTGCTATTTGACGTTGTCATTCAATCGAAATGCTGTATAATTTCATTTTCAATATATTTTTTTTTTTACTTTTTCATTATTATAAATTATTTCAAATTTGTTTAAATCTCATATCGTTTGCACCAAAGAGAATATCTTAATATCTAAAAAATCTGAGGTAAGAAAATTCATCTATAAATTAAGGTTGATTGAGTAAACATATACTAAATAAATAAGTTCTTGTTATAACTTTTATTCAAAAGAAAAACATTTTCTTTTATATTATTGTGAGTTGTTTTAAAATTTTTGAAATTTTATTTATTCAACCAAATCTACTAAAAATTCTAATAATCTTTATTAAAAATAACTACAGCACTTTCTTGTTGGTTTTTATATATTTTACTTTTATGTGAACGGTTTTTTTCACGTATCATCTTAGTTGAAAAATACTAATGGCATGTTAAAGAAAAGACATGCTCAATATAACACTTGGATTCCTCTTTAAGCGGATAACAAATGGATTTATCGAGAGAGAATTTATTCAGGAGATGAAAAATAAACATGAATCCAATTATATAAAAAAATTATGCTATCTTCAATTTAAAACATTAAATGATGGGTTCATGAGTTTTTAAGAAGTTTGATATTATGATTATTATATCCAAATTCTAACATATTGGATTAAGACAACCAACATAATAATAAAAATATGTCTCGTTTACAAATATTATGTGTTATTTGCAGGAACTTAGAGACCTAAATTTCATACTTTTTAGTGATGTGACTTTTATTGATTTCATCTTCGATTCATGTTATGTTTGTAATAAATTTCATCAATATCAAATTTTTAAATCTTACAAGGTGAGGCCTTGTCTATTCGAAAAAAATATTTTACATAATTTGCTAATTCTTATACGAACAAGTCTAACATCATAAGTTTGATAAAATTTTGGCAGTATTTTCTATTGATCTCTAAAGTACACAAAATGAAAGTAATCACATATGACCACAAAGAGAACAACACAAAATGGTTTCAAGTGAAATATTATCAAATTTACGCATAAACTTCAATGTACACGGAATTATGAAAAATAATTTTTTCAAACTGTTTTATCATACAATTCAAAATTTAATTCAAACGATTAAAAATTTAATCATTTATGCTAAATCTCAAAAGATAATTAAGGTTTGCTCGGTGTTTAACTATAATAAACTCAATTTATAAATTTTTCCAATACATATAATGAATCTAAATTATATAAACCTTTAACATCTAATAAATTTAAAATTAATTAGATAAATTTAATAATCAACACCCAATAGATCATAATATAAATTAAAATGTATCTATTTAGATAAAACTAAAAAAATTAAAAGTTGGTTAAAAAAACTTTTTCAAATTTTTTTATAAGTGAGTTTATATGTATTTCTCCAATTTCTACCATCTAATAAGTGGGAGAGATTCATATACACACTTGTAAAAACAAGAGAAAATCATAAAAGAAAAAAAAGTAATTAAGAAAAAATTAATTAATTTGTGAGTTACTTAGAATTAACGTTGTATATTTATTGTTATATATATAAATTTGAACAGGAAAAGGGGAACATAAACCAAAGATTGTGAGATGGTCTCCAATGTTTACTTCAGAATCGTGGTTTTGAAGGATTTTAATGTCATGAATGACATTGCAGCAACGATGAAATTTTGGTTTAGAAAAAGGATAATTTAGTCATATAATGACTCCTTTTATGTTAACAACTTTCAATTAATTCGTTTCCATTTGTTTCTTCTTTGATTTTATGAGTCCAGTGGCACAACTGCATATGCATCTTTCTGTCAATGAAAAATGAAATTACAGTTGCAGAAATGACATTTGTTCCCCTTGATGAAACATACTAAATCAAAATGAATGAAGAACAAGAAGAAAGAGAACGGAAACAATCATAAGCTTTTGCTAACAGGAAGGATACTAATGAACCAATAAGAACTACGTATTTCAAAGAAGGAGAAAAAGAACTACAAAAAGAAGCCAATGAGAGTCTTGTTGAAATTTACAATTCTTCATATATAAAAACCCATGTCAAAAGTTTCCTAAAAGCTATATGTACACAAAGAAAAAAATAGTTTTGAGTGAAAAGTATCTGTCATTGACATGTGAGTAGGAGATGCATGCATGCATGGATCCCTCGCAACCCAGAGAAGAGAAGGTGGACGTAAAATAAAAGGCAAAGGCCATAAAGAACGAGGCATGCAAAGTCCAAGACAATTATGATCACGAGGCCATAGATTTTGCAAGTGCCATTTCACTCTCGTGTGAGGCAACGGATGAATCCCTGTTTAAGTTGCCAGCTCCTTTTGCCCGAGATGCGACCTCCACATCTGCACTTCCAACTCCGCCCATTGTAACTCTACATCCAAAAGTTCTTGACAAAACTCTGTAAAAGAAGGTGAGCAACCAAAAGAGCCATGGTAGGCAAACCAATGCCACCCCTATTTCTGGTATCCAAGAGGATGATGTTTCTGATTCAGGAAGGAGCATGTATGCCACAAGGCATGCACCTCCTGCTACTATAGAGATGAACAAAAGACCAGTTATGATCCATATGAACGTGCGCCCAGGACTAGGATCAGACCCAGACATTTGTGTTTAGGAATAATGTTAAAATATTCACGATTTCCTCTTTATCTTCATCCATTTTAAGCAGCGGTGAGGGGTTAATGATGGAGAAAAGAGCATTGGGGTGGCATGGGGTGAGAAGCAGGTTGCATTTGGAGGTGCCCTGTTCTAATTTCTTCTGGTGTGGCACTTGCAGGGAAGCCTGAGAACGGGATTTTTTCTCAAATGGAAGGCGTGTTCAAAAGTTTGTTAACCTAAAATGGTGTTTTCGATAGAACGAACACGCCCACAAAGACAGAGAAAGAGAGAGGGAAGCGGGTTCCAATTATGGTTATCCAAGTTGAGGTTACAGATGGTTTGTTTCATAGGTATGCTACTATTTCACATTCAAAACCCATTCTTTATAAAAGTTATGTTATGTTTATGCATACAAAATATCCAAAATTGACAAGGTTTAGAATAATACCTTAGCACACGTCAATAATAATAGGTTTAATAGCCAATTTAGTCCCCACTTTGGTTGAAAAATCTCAATTTAGTCCCTCGTTATAAAAGTGTTTTACATTAGTCCTAACTTTTAAAATAGTGGGTCAGATTGGTCCCTTTCGTTAAATATAAGTTAACGAAATTAATGGATGATGATGTGACACAGCTTAAAGCTGATGTGTTAGATTGGTCCCTCGTTAGCTTTAAGTTTAGTCACATCATCATCTATTAATTTTATTAACTTATATTTAACAGAAAGGACCAATCTGACCCACTATTTTAAAAGTTAGGACTAATTCAAAACACTTTTATAACGAGGGACTAAATTGAGATTTTTCAACCAAAGTGAGGACTAAATTGGCTATTAAACCATAATAATAATAATATTACTATTATTGGAAAAAAAGAGAGTAGTAAAGTAGTGTTCTTTTTTTACAAATGGTGATTGTAAAAGATATTTTTCTTTAACAGATAGGAACAATTTTATTCATTAAAATTTAGCACAAGATAGATACTAAAAGTTCAGTTCCCACGTTGATTCCCCCAACACCTCTGGTAGCCGGATAAATAAAAGGATAAAATAAGCAATAATGTATAATTCCTTACAAACTTTCATTGCAAAACAATACTTCAATAATTGAAAATAATAGACTCAATGATTTAACAAATACGGAGTAAAAAAATTACATTGGTTAAACTCTACATGAATGGAATATATTGAGACCTACACTTTTAAAATGTGGACCAAATTCCAAATCAAGAAAAAGTTCATAAACTAAAAGGGTACATCTACTTTAAAAAAAAAAAAAGATTGACATTTATGTCAACAAATAATTTGTTTAAATATTATCAATAGGATCAAATTGTCAAATGTAGTAAAAAAATACAATAAGTTCCTTTCCCTTTCTATCCAATCCTTTCTGTTAATCTATAAATCTACGAACTGACTTTGCAGCCTTTACACCACATATATATGATGTGGCACACTGAATATCAAAATTGGTAGAATGCTCAGATATCAACAAGACGTGAAAACTTATCCAGAGCTCACTTTTTCAGTCAAAGAAACTTCAGGCTTCTCAACTTGGTTATTTTCTTTAACGGCATTCATCATTTTGTACCTCCTCTGTTCTTGAGCTTTCCTCCGTCTGGCTTCGAGCACAATGAGTAGAGCAGTGATATCAGCGGGGCTCACCCCACCTACTCTGCTTGCCTGACCAATGGTTTGAGGCTTAACCTGAAATCATTGAGATAACATTGTCGCAAGTACAAGAGAGAAGTTGCATTATAGAGAATATTTATAATCTATGGTTACACTCACCGAAAAGTATATACAACATTTAACAATTAAATTATTAAAACTATTTAATAATGTGTACTAAACTTTCCTTGATGCTACAAAATAAAAATTGCTTCTTAATCAATATCACGAGGGCATCTCCAAAGCTCCAATGTAACTTTTATCCGTGCATCTTCTGCATTGACACCTGTGTCTATGAAGTTCATACCGTATTCTGTATGACGACGAGAAGGTGCTTCTACAAACACCGGTGCATAAGGTATTTATGTGGAGCACCATGTCACCATTAATCAAGGCTTCCGTAATTTTAAAATAAATAATGTGTACCAACTCATAACTCATTATGGTGGGACCTATTTGGTAAATTTGTTGAAATGCTGAATAGGAGGGATTTGGTGCTTAATTTGAAACAGATAAAAACAACCTACTTAAGAATCCAATAAGAGAAGCTAAATCAGTGATAGCATTAAACACGTGTTAGGAAGACACTAACTTTAATTTATTGGTGAAATATTATTAAATCTTATCAGTTAGTCTGTGCCATAAATGCATTTTTGGGGGAAGAAGGGTCATTCTATGAATTCAACAGCAGTAGTGCTAGTTTGATCGTCTTGTACGGGGGATAGTTAGCTAATGGTGGACACATTTTATTCCCATGATATCTCTATTGAAAGGATTACTGATAAAACAAGTCACGGAGGATGGTACTCCTTTGGTTCATATTGAGAAGAGAGAAACCACGAATGGATATAATTACTTCCGTATGTTGTATACATACATGAATATTCTTATTTATAATGAAGAGAAACAATAATAAGGAAACACCATCAATATCTAATAATGTGAAATATTTGGTACGATACTTCCCTATCAAATCTCATCATATCACCCTAATTAACGCAATCAAATTATATTTCTAACATAATCAAATCATATCTCTTACACTCCTCTTCAAACTGAAGTATATGTATCATTGAGACACGGTTGCTGCAACATAACCCATTATGTCACATGCTATAGTCGATTATGACCTCCCTATAATTGATTACGGTAATTTGTAACTTTTTTATTTTGCTTTTTGTTATAATAACAATATATAAAATAATAATAAATAAAAATTATTAAAATAAATTGAATCATTTTAAAAAAATTAAACTTCACATAATTTCTTTTCAACCAAACAACATCTTTATATTCTTTCTTACCTATTTCTCCTCTTTTCTTTTCTCTTTCACTCTATTTCTTTCCTCCCTACCGTACATACCAGTAATGAACCAAATATCTATACTGATGAAGTTATATAACTTACAAACCTTCGAAAGTTTTTCGCGAGCTTCATGAGATAATGTTGTCATCGCATAGTAATCCAGGTCTTCGGGAAGTGGTCTATGATGTTGAGCAACCAACTACAGGTAAATCCATCATAACAATAAAATTTGACATTAAATACGCAGCTGAAGTTCTAAAATGTTAAAAATTAAAATGATTTGGGATTTTGAGGTCAAAGAAAAATGGTATTCACTTTTGCTCATTCAAAAGTGTAATACATACCTGTTGAAGTTGGCTTTGCTGACGCAAGATGAAACCTTCGTACTTTATATCAATCTCAACACATTCTTTCTCCATTCTTGATAAGCTTTTGTCGCCAAATCCATGCTTGTCAAGAATTTCATATTGTATGTGTGGTTTCTTAAGAAGGCTTTCTAATGTTGAAGAGTCCTTCACGGGCTGACCAGATAGACTAGTGACTTCAGCAGCCAAATCCATTCCTGATGAGAAAATTGGGGAGTATCGATAATTCATAATTAGCCAAACAAAATCTCTACATAATATATAGCAGACTAAGTATGTGAAAGGAAGCATTAGATGGAAAATCAGTATAAATATAATGATGTACTCCCACTGTATAAGAATTTTTTTTTCCCTAGAGGATGGATAATAGTAATTACAAATAACTTAGACTTTCATTAACACTAGCATGAAGTATCTACCAGACTATATTAAAAGTAGTTCGATTACATTTTAAATTGTAATCGTTATGTAAAATATTGTGACCGTATAAAGTGCAGTAGAGTGAAGATTTAAAGCTCCCAATTTTATAAAATCCACTGGCTTGAGAAGCATCAACATTTGAAAAACTGTTATTATGCGCAGATGTTGCCATCTTGTTTCCCCCAAACTGATAAAATTTCTTTCGAGTCTATTTTTAAAGAAACACCTTCCAAGAATGAGTTGCCACAAACATAGTGGGCAAACCAACCTGAAATCCGGACACTTTTCAATCGTTTCTTTTCCCTAGAAATTCGATCTTGCTTATCCTGGTACAGTTTCCAGCGTCTATCATCTATCAATCCTATTTCATGACCCAAAGGTGTGAGACGGCTATCAGCATTATCGGATCTCAAGAGTAACCGATGCTCTGAGCGGCTATCAAGAGGAAGGAAAAATTTCAATTTATATGTCAAGAAAGAAGAGACATAGTAAAGAAGCACAAATTTTATTACAGTTAGCTTACCTGGTTAACACCCGGTAAGGCTCTCGCAGGTCCTTGGTTACTAGATCATCAATTAATGTTCCTATATAACTGCTCTCCCTCTCAAGAACAATAAGTGGCTTATCATCTGCATGTCTAGCAGCATTGATACCAGAAATAATGCCCTAAAGAATAGCATAGAGGGTTGAAGTTTGCTAGATTAACAGGAAGCTCAGATAAAACTCACAACTCGCAACACTCAAAAAATCACAAAGTATTATATTTAAAAGTACAAATGAATTTTAAATGATACCTGTGCAGCAGCTTCTTCATAGCCTGTAGTTCCATTTATCTGACCAGAGAAGAACAATCCTTGAATTTTCTTTGTCATTAGAGACCTAGCACATTGATGAGCAGGTAAATAATCATATTCCACAGCATATGCAGGCCTCAACATTGAACACTTCTCAAGTCCGGGTAAAGTTCTCAATAAAGGTAATTGTAATCTCTCTGGCAAACCCGTCGAGAACCCCTATAAGATAGAAAGCATTAACCATATAAACTTCAACTCTTTGTAATTGGAACTCCATAGTTCATCTATACTAATTTCAAATAACAAAAAAGAGTACAAAAGTTGGAGGACAGTACTCCTCTTCATTAAAAGAAGCTGAGACAAGCCATTAGCATTGCCACCTACTTCCCCCCAAAAAGAATTTCCCCGTCTAGAAAATAGCAACAAAAAAGAGGGAAAACTATATTTCAATT